AACAATAAGACGAGGGAGGGGACAGAAAGAAAGGAAAGGATGGGAGAGATAAGGGAAGGAAAAGGGGAGATGAGAGGAAATGAAAGGGGGGAACAACAAGGAGGAGACATTTAAAGAGGAGCTGCTCAGCCACAGCTGGAGCTCAGCGAGGAATGAATGGGCTAGATTGAACTCTGTGACACGAGTAGTGATTACTAGTTTGAAGTGTGCTGTTTTTGCAGCTCGGCAGTGAAGCCCAGCAGGCCGAGACCAATCTATGGACACAACAGAACACTGCAGAAAACTTGTTTCATTTCAAGTATGTGCTGATTTTTTTTAAAGGTGAATAAATGCTCGCTGAGCTCTTTGAGCTGACAGGCAGGCAAACAGACTCCTGGATGGTCCGCAGAGGCGATGGACTGAAGTGCCACTCAAACGTGATGGCAGATCAAACAGAGTGAGACCACAGACATGTCCAGACATGACACGACATTATTACTGCTGTGTTAAGGTTAGACAGCAGCCTCTCCGGGGCCCCGAAGCCTCCTCTTATTTGTTTTTAGTTGTCGTGTTTCCATCTGTCCTCTTCTTGCTTTGCAATCCAGAAAATCGTCCTTGTCTTCATTTATATTGTGCTCAGGAATACTTTAACAGCAGAGATGGTGTGTGCATGTTCATCAGAGCAGAACATCAAATAATACCCAGTAATGTGGAAAATAAACAGGCAAGCGAATAGCAGCGTCATAACTCCTGTGTCATATCAGGAGTGAAACGGAGACAATCGCAGCAGCTGGATGGCGTTTCTTCACAGAAACAAGGTCAGCTTTTGCTGCTGATCGCTCGTACATGTTCCAAAACAAATCATACATCCAGTTCTTGTTTATTTTCTTGAACTGTATAGTTCATGTCAATTTATTCTCCAGCTCCTCGTTTGAAATTTAAACTTTAATCTGGGTTGGGTCCCAGACAGAAGAATGGCTGATTGTTTAGGTGATCGTTTGTCCATTTTGTTCATTTATCCAGTCGGTCTGTTTCAGAGACAATCACAGGTGAAAATGTTCACTTTAAATGCGTCAGAATACCTTCGATACCAACAAGTGAATCTCTGACAGCCCCAGCCGTTGGATGGTCACATATGATCATCTTATCAGGGTTTTTCCTTGCCAAGGATCTGGGAGGTGGACTACACATGACTTGCAACAGAGGAAAATGTGTCAGTGACTCATTGTTCGATGGCTGTTATTGAATCACTTACGTACACGTTGATGAGTTTTATAGATCGTGCCGTTGATTGATCACAAGAGAAAGGAGGCTGATTATATAAATTCTCACTGGTAGAACACAAAGTTGTTAATGTTGACCTCGCAGTCATTTAGATGTTGCCGACTAAATCTGAGGATTTTTGTTAAAGAGCAGCGGAGAACTTGAGAAGTTAATGTGCTGTGTTAACCTAATCTGCCACTTGTAGTCACGTTATTTTGAAGTTACGTTTTTGGCAACGACATTGTTTTTTTTTCTTTGGTAATTTTTGTTCTATGCAACACTAGAGAGGACATTAAATCAAACAAATACTTTTAATTTGCAGGATTTAGCCAAAGTTTTGCATTACATACATTTTTCATTTTTATACAGTCCCTATCTTCAGAGACTTCAAGATAACTGGGCAAACTAACATATATGCTTTCTAAATATAAGGATTGTTTTTTTAAATACTTGGATTCAATGACTGGACGTCACCAAACGCCGTGTCTCCTCCCTTGAGATGCTCTGCCAGGCCTTTGTTTCAGCCACGTTCAGCTGCTGCTTGTTTGTGAGTGTCTCTACCTTCAGTTTTGTCTTCAGTGGCTGAAAAGCTGCTCTGCTGGGCTGAGATCAGGTGACCGACTTAGCCATTGAAGAATATCCCATTTCTTTGTCGTGAGAAACTCTCGGGTTGCTTTTGCAGTTTTGCAGCATTTGGCTGAATCTGAGCCGAGAGTATCGGTAGTCACATCATTAATAAACACTCGTGAGTCGGTTCCACTGACAGCGATGTCATAACGTTGGCTCCACCGCGTTTGACAGATAATGTTGTAGGCTTCAGATCATGAGCTGCTTCTCTCGTTCCGCATTTTTCTCTCTCTATTATTCTGGTACAAGTTAATCTTGGTTTCAGGTTTTCAAAGAATGTTTTTCAGAGCTGCGCTGGCTCTTTTAAATGCTTTCTGGCAAAGTCTAATCTGGCCTTTCTGTCCAGTGTTTATGTGCATTTGTTGCAAACCTTCTTCTAGATTTTTAAAAAATTGCTTAATTTGTCAGGACATGTGAGCTAAGAAATTACACCGCATCCCACAAGATGAATCGCCTGTGCAGGAGTGACTGAAGTTGCCAAACGTCACTTCCTATAGAGGTTCAATGCCTGCAGGTCTGTTAACCGTATTAAGAATGAGGTACAAGATACAAGATGCAAGATGGTGTGTGTGACAGGTTGTAGAGGTCCCAGGTTGTTTGACAGAGTATTACAATGCTTTTGATAACAGCAGGGAGACAGCTGGCGATGTGCTTTATAGGCTTGGCATTTACCCAGAATGCTCAAACTGCGACTTTACGGCTCGACAGATGCCACTGCTGGTTGGCGAGACAGTTATCCAGTCAGTCTGTTTCAGAGGCAATCTGATGACTTTTCACGGGTCCAAATGTCCACTTCAAATGCTTCAGGATGCCTACGATACCAGTGACTGGATCCCTAACAGTCCCAGCTGTTAGGTGCTAATAGCATGTTAGCAGGCCAAACATTTGGTCACATAATATTATCTTATTTGTTTTTTTTTCCCTAGCCGAGCAGCAAAAACAGTCCACATACAGTAAAAGCAACAAGTCTGTGCATTTTCCTCTTATTCCTCATCATTTCATTAGCAACATTTCTATGAAACCCAAATTATTAACAAATTATTCTATGACAGCCTGGCCAGAGGTTTGTTTTTTTGTTGCTGTTGTTTATTCATTAAGTGTGATTAGAACATTATAGGAACATCTCTTAATATCCTGCTGATTTTAGTGTTCCTTCAACTCATTTGTGCTTTATTAATGCAGTGACTCTGCTGGTGTTAAGTGGCCTGCTCTTTTAAAAGCGTACTTTCTGGAAGTCTGTACCCAGGCTCTGTACTGCTGGAAGAACAATGTGATTATGGAGCAACAGGCAGCTTAAATAGAATTTTCTCCTCATGTGATCCAGAAAAAACAGCCACATGTTGTGTTTCTAAAGCAACAGAAATCAGGCTTTTCAATATCCATCTGTGGAGGCTGTGTTTTAAAATGCAGTTTCAAACATGAGGAACTTTTTCAGAACATTTTCTTTTATTAAGATTACTTAAAAGGGTGTTTATTAGACGAAAAAAAAAGGCCACTAGGTTTGTGTATCAAATAAAAGCCTCTTGCATTAAGCCTTTTATGTCCGCTGACAGTGATGACTTGAAAGCATTAGTATCCTCCTTGAATTGCCTTTCATGTCTTAATAATACGACCTTCATCTCAGCTAGTTGGGACAGCGTTTCACTTTTTCACTGAAGATAAAGTTTTATTCTGCCATGTGAGGAGAATTTTTGCACAAGTCGAGGAACGTGTCAGGCTACATTTCACTGTGTGTTATACTTGTATAACTATGCATGTGACAAATAAAGAACCTTGAACCTTGAACTTGAACCTTTAACTCTCAAACATCTAAGAACTCAACCCTAACCATAACTCTAACTCTAACTCCAGGTAGACAGAATATGTAATTTTTGTTTTTATTAAACTGTTCTCTCAGACACAAAGAAAACAATCATTTTAACAGCTCCAGATTCAAAAAGACTTCATTTGGAAAATGAAGTCTTTTTTCCTTTTTAAAACTTGGGTTAGGGTTGAGTTCTTAAGCCTCTGAGGGTTAACCTTTTTGTTAATGGCACAGTGATTTCTGGAAGTGTTCTTGAGGTCATGCAGTCATTTCCATGACTGTTTTTAATGCGGTGCTGTTTTTAATCAACATTCATAACAAAAGAAATAGTGGATCAATAAAAGTCCACAGGTAAAGTCTGACAATACCGGACTTAAAAATTATTCCTGTGACTCATCTACTGGGAACAAAACCCCTTCATGTTATATCCACGTGGGCCAAACCATGAGAGTTGGATTATTTTATAACTCATATATATAAAGCTTAAAGATAGAGGTGAGGACACTTTGATTTAAGACTGTTTCTCTTTCAAACAGATAGCTGTTTTCAGCATGTGTCCCTCTGCATTGTAACTATGAAGTATGAGGACAGTCAGCTGTAAACGGTGATGCTTGTAGATGACGTAGATATTAGCTGTGTGCACTTCTCAAGGAAGTTAAAATAAGTCAGATATCAACAGTATAACTTTCATTTCGTTTTGATATTGACATGCACTGATAAACCAGAAATGAAACTGTTTTTGCATGCTGCATTCTCATGTACGTTGTGGGATTTTTTGGGTTGTGGCTAGGGATGGGTACCGGTGTCCGGTGCCATGATGGCACCGGTTCTGACATAAACGGTAGTAACCAGACCGAAAAGCAGCGCAGATTTCGGTGCTTTATTTCGGTGCTTTTTTTTCCTGAGCTGTGATACACTTTAGATTCTAGCCAATCATTTTACGTTTCCGAGGATAGTAGGCGGGGCCAGGTACGTACGTTCTGTTAGAGCAGAGCTACAGATTAAAAATGTCCAAGGCGAAGCGGTCAAAAGTATGGCTGTACTTCATAGCAAAATTTGCAAACTCAGCAGCCTGCAACAAGTGCTTTAAGCTGATACTGTGATACTGTCAAAGGAGGTAACACCTCGAATCCGATGAAACACCTGGCGACGCATAGCGTTTTTTTTAAAAGCCCAGAAATGCGCCGTATTTGATAGCTTGCTGCGAGACCTCACACCGAGTACATCTACTGCGGGTGGGTTGCCTGTTATGCAACATCCCCCAAAAACACGAAGAGGAGAGTCCTGGCCCCTAGCCCTGCCAGTGTAGCAGAAATGATGACGGATGATGGTGGCAGCAGCAGCCGTTCTTCTCTGCGTGAGTAGCTAATTTACGTTGAGTAGGCTAACCACGTTATTACATTAATGCATGTAAGGTGAACTAGCAAACATCATCATAGCTACATGCGGCTGTCTTCTTGTTTGATGGCAGATACTCCCTTCACCCTGGCTAAAAAGGCTAAAATGACCAAAGAAAAAGTGGAAAACAGTTAAACATGAGAGGTTTAGGACAAAGTTTGTGTTTTTTCCATTGTTTAAGCACTGCTTCCAGCCAAGAGTGATACCATATATGCCCCATAGCTGCAGAAAAGGCTAACATTGTTATATTTTTACAAAAAACAGCTGAACATGAGAGGTTTTTGGACCAATTTTGTGTTCTCCATTCTTTAAGCACCGGTTTGAGCACCGTTTGAGCACCGGCACCGTTTCAAAAGTACCGATTTGGCACCGGTATCGGATAAAACCTAAACGATACCCATCCCTAGTTGTGGCTATGAAATCTGAGCTCTGTTTTAACAAAGGTTCCAGAGTGTGAACCATCAGTATGCAAACATGCATGTGAAATATTTGGATGAACTATCAGTGGGCAAAAGTGATTCATTTCATGAGCATAAATTACTCATTTGCAATGCAAAATATTAAAAAGCAGCCTGTTTCATATGCACAAGTGATCTCTTTCTCGACTCTTTTCTGGAGGCATCAGAAGAAGTCGTGTTTCAGTTTCTGATCTGAACAACACCTCATATATATACTAATTCACACATCAGCAGCTGTACATCTCTGGCTCATCTTGTTCTTTTCTTCTTGCCTAAACAGGAAGCAGGCCTATTTTTTCCTAACAAATATATTTTAAACTACATACATTATATACTAGCTGTTTGCACTAACGCTCAGTACACAGTGGTCTGACTAATTTATTTGTAGAGTTACAGGGTGTTTTTCTTTCTCCTTATATGCGCACTACACACTATGTGCAATTTTCAAAAGGTCTGTACTGAGAAAAACTCCTGTATAAGACCTATCTGTCCTCTGCATTTCTTTCTAGCAACCTCACAGCATCGTGCAGCGTCGCCTGCTGGAGGGAAACATCACGCGACTCAGAGGTGAGGGCCGGGACCTCAGCACCAGGGTTCGCTCCCCACTGGCCGACACCAAGGACGGACCTGCTGACACCGAGGAGAGGAGCGAGAGCACGGCTGACGACTCCACAGAGGAGAGGGAGTCTTTTGAGGAAAGTGAAAGGAGCCTACGGTCAGATGAGGAGGACGACAGCAGTGAGGCCGGAGCCAGACAGACAGCTGAGAAGCCCGAGGGCGGGGAGAGCTCGCCTGTCCTAACTGCTCTCATCATTCAGTGCAAGGTACTGAACCCTGCGTACTCAATCTACGCTCACCCACATTCGGTGCTCTGCTGAAACAAACTGAAAACAAAAGAGGAGACAAAGACCACACTACTCTGCTCCCATGACTCATCATTCAAAGCCTTCATTTACTTTCTCTTTACAACATATCAAAAGCTCTGCAGGACCCACAGACACCACTGAGTCACAGTGATTAAATAAGTCTAACCTGGTCAACACATCTGCATGCGCCCAAAACAGATTCAGCATATAAAAGAAAAAGTGCGCAGGGGCTTAAAAGTGTGGAGGATAAAATGATGGAGAGAAAGACAAAAAATGGTATAAAATCTTCAGCAGCAGGTTACCCAAACTTGTGTTTAACCAACATGGTAAGAAACAGATAACTCTCCACCTGGGGGCTAGTTTTTCCACTTGTACCCAACACTGGCCCTTGTAAAGCATAATTTGTAGTCCTAGGTTGAGTCATCAAAGAGCCTATGCCACTGTTTCATTTATACTCTCATTTTTCAGTGGTTCAGTGGTGGGTCTACAGTGTTTTCAGGAGGAAAACTGAGGTCATTGTGTTGATACTACCTACAACATTAACATAGTGGATAAGCTATATACTATTAGATTTTAACTCACTGGACAAGAAGCCTGTGCTAATCAGTGGACAGAATTTAGCACCATCTCATCATGGACATTATTATTAGCAAGGGCGTAGATTTGGTTTTGGCATTGGTGGGGACTGATGATTCAACCACCGAACTCTGCCCCGTTTCTTTTATTTCCTCCTTTTTGTCTTTGCTTCTTGATAAAAAAGGAGAAATATACTTGCCTACATATGCTATTCTACATGCTTTTAAACCATTTAAAATTACAATTAATAGTTTTATATAATGTTAAATTACAATTAAAAAAGTATTTTAGACTTTAGTTTATATTCCATATAAATCGGGTATCATACAAAAATAAAAATAGCTTCAAATACAATAATGACCCGCCAAGTCATCATCCAATTTCACCTGTGATCTTGTATCACCATTACTCTCTGAGCTTTGTGTTGGTTCTTCTGTCACCTGACAAATAGGACATACATGACAATAAGAATAAAATGTGTAGCTGCTTCAGTGTTTCTGTCAATTTGTGCAGATCTGGACTCATCAGTAATGTTTGTAGCATGAGTGCATTTTTAAAACCATTTGTGCAAACTGCACTACAAGGTGGAATATTTGCAAAATCATGACTACTTTGTGATATTTTGTCTCAAAAATTAACCCTATGAATATGTCAGCACATTAGGATGAAATTATTGTGTCACCAACATTTTAACGTTAGACATATAATTTTAACAGCCTCTGTAAACTAATATCCTGGCTTGCTCGAGGCTGCCGTTTTCTCTGACAGTTTCAAACAAAATTAGAAATCCTACTCTGAGACTGAGACAACTAATACTGCTGCCTGTTGTGCAGTTAGTTTACAAAACACGTTATTCATGGTTACATACAATTTTAGACTGATGTGGGCCAAAGCCTAGCATAGCATGTAACGGTTTTATGACGGACACATTTTATGAGTGAACTTGACTTTAAGTGACTTACAGGTTTCTTTGAAAAATACTTCCTTATATCCAGGTTCTTCCTTTGTGCTGCCATCCTGCTCTCCTCCTTGCAGGTCCTTGCAGTGCAGGCTTGCCGCTGCTAAAACTAAACAGAGCTCCCTGAAAGGCACAGCCAATCACATTGGCCATATTTGTCACATGAGGTAGGACTCCGGTAGAGAACGTTCTGCACCGCTGGGTGAATGAGACGTTGACATATCGTCTTTTTTTTTTTATTTCTATCGGTTTTGTTTTTCTTTACTCGGAGAGATCAAATTATTGGTGGGGACAATTCAATAACCGCTGGATATTGGTGGGGACATGTCCCTTCCATCTTTGCCAAATCTACACCCTTGATTATTAGAAGGCACAGCATACATTTTCATTGCTATGCAGATGATACCCAGCTTTACCTATCCATCGAGCCTGATGACACACACTGATTAGTTAAACTCCAGGAATGTCTTAAAGACATAAAGGGCTGGATGGCGTCTAATTTCCTGTTTCTGAATTCAGATAAAACTGAGTTTGCTGCACTCGGCCCTATAAATCCTAACATCTTATTTACAAGTCAATATTTTGGTTAAATCACCTTTATTCTTCAGCCTGAACTCTTTCAGGCAGCTTTACTCTCATTTTTTAAGTAGTCTTCAGTTATACAGTTCTCCAGGCTATGACTTCAGACAATCCCACACTGCTTCAATAATACCAAGGACGAAGCTCTGATTGAGGCTAATCCATGACTTTGTTCCATTGTGTTTTTTTCTATCCATGTTTGTTTTTACTGCATTGGCAGTGTGTTTAGGATCCTTTGTCACGTGGAAAAATGATCAAAACTTAAAATAGATTTTTTTCCTAAGTTTTTTGTTTTCTGTATACACAACAGTGGTTTATCTCTTGAGTTAGGTGCATTTTTTAAAATTATTTTTTAGACCAAGCAAAATTAATCTGGCCAGGTACAAGGACTGGACTGAAAATTAGTGAAAGACCCTGAGAAAGCCTGAAGAACTGTTGCTCAAGACCACTTAAAGAAATTACAAGAAAGTCCGGCTCGTTTAGAAGCAAAACATAAAGAAAGAGCGGCTTCTCAAAACTTTTACAGCGTCTTCTAGCTTGAGTGCCATAGCCATCATAGACTGGAAACAACTGAAAGGCACAGTAACACACTACGGGATTTATTGTTCCTTCTAGTTTAATTGTAGTAACACATGCGGCAGAATATTTCATACTTTGTCTATAACCGTTGGCTTGATACTATAATATTTTGCCCTTTTGAATTTGAATTTTGGAGAATTGTGGCCATGCATAACACCAAGGACATAACTGTATTTTATCCTTTGAAAGAAATCAATACAGAGATCAAACAGCTTCTCATCCCTGTGGGAGAATATCACACAGTTTCTCTAAGTCCACTTTTTCAGTGGATTCAGCGTTTTCACCCATTACTCGGTGTGCGTTTGCTGGGTTTTATCATCAACTTATTAAATGCAAAGTGTTCTTTAGTTACTTGTTTGGCTGCTATTTTTAAACCTCAGGGATGGGGAGGGATTATTGCACTACCGGCCTGAGACAAAAGAGCAGGTTTGTGGGTCTGCTGATAAGCCAGTGAGGACAAAGAAGCCTTGCTCAGTCAGCTCGGTCTGCATAGACTGAGAGGGATCAAAACAAGGTAAATGGAAAATCAACGTGTTTACTTCCAAATGGGGGAATATCCTCGGGTCAAGTAGATAAGGTATTGACTTATAAAGGAGATAACGAGGAGAGGAGGACAAGAGAACACTGGATGTTTGAAAATATGTCCAATATCTAAAACAGAAAGACTCTCTTTTCATGACATTAAAGTACTGACTCCTTATTTACAAGATACAATTTAAAAAATGCAGGATGTTGTGTTCCTGTGAACTTGTACTGAGTATTTTTAGTTGTACTTTTATTTAAAACATCAGCAAATTATAGAAACTAACCATTCGAGTGTTTTTAAATGCCTTATTTTCTCAAGCTGACTGTCCTAGATTTGTAAGAGAGATGAAACAGGTGACTATATTTCAGATTGTTGATGACTGGAAATTGCCCAAAGATTCTGCTACTAAAGCTTTACTTGATCTGAAAGTAAATCTGTTTATAAATACACCGAGAATCTTTGATATATATCTGCATCTTATGGTGGAAAATACCTAAAAAGAGCCTGATGCTCACTTATGGGGGTGGTGCCAGCACATTGCTTCTGCCATATGTTCTGTATGTACCTCATTAATCCAGTACTTTTCTTTCTTTCCATAAACATGGACATGTTGCATGAAATCACCTCAGAGGATGCTGAATGGGAAGAGGCCTTTGCAGACTGCAGTTCTAATAAACCATTACAATCTGCTGGCAAAAGATGAAACATGTCTTTGTGACATGAGGCGCCCTGCAGGCAGCAGGGCACCCGTGAGATAAAGAAAAGTACAAATGTCAGTGGAAATTGGGCCAAAAGACGCCTGCTTGCATTGCTACTGTAAAACTCTGGATTTAAAATCAGATAAGGAAATGTACTTAAATGCCCTTTTTGGTGGGTATAGGATGCAACTTTGTTCATATAAATCTATGTAATAATATAAATCTATCGCCAGGTGAGTTAGGTTAGCATAAATACTACAAGAAAATACAAAAAAGCGCTTAAAGTGGACTACAAGCAGCTGAGAAAATATGAGATAAAACAGGCTGTCAATGTTAATTAGGGCAAACCTCACATTAGCATGTAACATGTACTTTCAGGACAAAAGTTTGATGATTAAAAGACTATATTGATACATTGGGAATTCACTCATTTGCATTTTTGTTGGGCACATAATAACATGATGTTTTTCTTATTTTATTCTTGCATGTATAAACATTTATGCATTTATCAGATGTGTTAGCTGACCCAAGCTGCTAAGCTAGCTACTGTTAAGCTACAGTAGCCTTTTTAACTGCTGGCTTATTACACCATTGCAAAAAGTAAGTCTGTGAAATTTCTTCCCTCCTGGATATTCCACCATCAACTTTAAATGGTATTGTTGCAAAGTAGCACCTCAGTAATTAAACAGTAGATCATGTACAGTGAGGGGTTTCACAGTGTTGAGGTGCACACAGTGTATAAAAGCCACCCGCATTCTGCCTACTCAGTAACTGCAAACTTTCTGTGGCATTAATATCAGCATAAGGAATTGTGCTGGCAGCGTCTTGACATAGGTTTCCATTGTAAGGCAGCGCATGCAGGTGCAATGTATAGGAGACCCAGTGCTTTTGTCCATATAGAGTAACTCAAACAATAAAACAACACTATATTTTTTAACCATCTTAAAGAATTGGCGCAACAGCTGGAGCAGTTAGGTTCAAATTCTAATCAAATGATCCTATTTCCCAAATTGGGAAATTGTCCTTCTGACTTTGGTGGGTCCATGTGCTTTCAAAGTGGCATATGTACTGGAAAAAAAAAAAAATTAAGGCCCCTAGGGAAAAAAACTGGGGGCCATGACTTGTTTTTTGGAATTCTGAGAACATGATATTAAAATGAATAATAATTTTTAATTTTCATATTGTTGTTCTAACTTGAAGGATATTAGTTTGTGAACTGTATATTTTCCCCCACATCAAATACTTTGCTCTCCACACAGAGAGTTGCTTGGCCAATGTGTTAAATCTGCACTCCATGCATGTTTCTAAAAAAATCATTGTCCAAACTGAGGAACTGAGATCTTTTGTCAGCAATTTGAGTCTAATATAGAGCTAATGGTTAACACCTCAAGACCTGTAATGGAGGTAATGAAGAATAATCTGGGTGGTTTATTTTTAACTGTATGAAAAAGCTAAACACCTGCAGCAACGGAGAGTCAGTACAGAGCAAGCTAAGCAGACAAAATAGCAAAAAACAACAGTGGAGTTAGAAATACTCCACTACTGGAATATTTGTTTTGTTTGCACAACCCAACCTGATTGAGAGTTGAAAGTACTTTTTCAGTTTGGCAGTCGTGAGCATATGGCAGCCAAAAAGATTCATTCAAAACAGGAGAGATCAGCGTTCTTTATACGCTCTCCATAGTTAATGTGCTAATGTGCTGTTCATGCTGGCTGGTTTCCTTGCATGCACTGGTCCCAAAATGAAGCAGTAAAAAATAACACTGTGACACCAAAAATCACCCCTCGGTCTCCCCACAGTGCTGCGAGACTGAAGTCAAGGCATCCATCAACACCGGCAGCCAACACAACCACATCTCCACCTCCTGCTGTCAGAGGCTGGGGTAAGAAACACTCTAAACACTCACTGCACATGCACCTAATATTAGCATCTTAATTTATTCTGAGAAACACATCAGCTCAGTACAAATACTGAAGTGATTAAAAAAGTAACCAAGGATAGAAGAAAGGACACTTCACAGAAGAAGTAGATTTAAATAAATGAGCTTTAAAGAGAAATCTGAATGACAACATAAAGCTCTTAAGTTTCTCCAGATTGTTAAAGATGTGATCTTAATGTCGTCTTTAAACTTTCAAATATATAATAAAGATCTTTTTTTTCTGGTGGCTATTTCGTAATTTTCCTTAAGAAAAAGAAAATCATTTCCATTTTAAAGTAAGGAGTCAGTTCTATGACAAAGTTACATTTTATCCCTACAAATATTGTGCAGCCGTTTACACCATGAGTTTGCCAAATGTGGATAAAGTTCAGGTTAATACCCGCATGCCTGTGTAGAATGTGGTTAGCGCTGAGAGACAGTTTAAAAAAACAAAAAGCACATACTCAGATTCTTTTGTTGGGCCATCTTTAGCTTTAACAATCCTTGCTCCCTGAACTACTCATTCATAATTGGAGCCAAGTGAATTCTTGCATTGTTATAGGAATAAGGGAAGAAAAAAAGTTGATGGAAGAACATGGTCATACATTTATTCAGGTAGTTAGATCGCTGAACCTAAACCTGATCAACTGAAGCAACCTCAGATCATAACACTGCTCCCACAGGCTTGTTCATTAAGCACCAGGCATGCTGGGAGCATCATGTCATCGACTTCTCTTCTTTCCCTGATGAGCCAATCACTCTGGAACAGGGTAAAAGTTATGTTCCCTAAGAATCTGAAGCCTTTTTTTTCTGATTAGCCTCACTGATGAGCAGTTTTCTTAAGGCTACATATTTTAGTCCCAATCCTCTGACTTGTCTTTGCATTACACATGTGGAAATCCTCTTACATTCACTCTTAAACACAACTGTTGGTGCTTCTCTTGATTTTATGTATTGGAATTATATTTGTGTCAAAAGTATTGCTGCTAAAATGTGATATTGTACAACAGACTGAAGGAGTGCAGAGGCTACAGAACCTCCCTCTGAATCCTCTCGATTTGAAGATTTTTTTTCAGTGATAGTTTTCAGTACTTGCACTGCTACACAGGAAAAAAAACGTTTGATCGTTAATTCGGCAAACTTCATTTTCCAAATCGTAAACAAGTGTTTGTCTGCGAGTACGTGAATGTGAAAATCTGCTCCTCTGTTGCTTTTTATGATCCTAGTTAATAAAATCCCAGCAGCACCAACCTTTGATTGACATTTTAATAAAAATCAGATGCACTTTGTTTTTGTGAGGTGAAGCCGCTGTAGGTAGGTGTACTGACATGATACACCCACAAAGGCTGTTTTTGGACTGATGAAGATATTCTTCATTGTCGTCGTGTGTGTGCGTGTCTCTGTGTGTGCTGCTAGACTGGTGCCCAGACAGGCCAGTTCACCATGCGACGTGAACAGCTCGGTGACGGAGCTGCAGCTGCAGCTGGGAACACAGAGAGTCCAGTGTTCAGCTTACATTAAAGGTAAAAATATCACAGTGAAATCATGAATACCATTTCAAGATTTTTAAAGTTCACCACTGACTTAAACTGGATAACATTAGCTGTGTATGAACTCTTGATGCCAATAAATGAGAACTGAAGGTCTCACGTGTGTGGGTGGAGGTAAGTGTGGAGCAAATTTCACCAAAATCTATTAAACTTTTGGCACGATGGTTTTTAAGGAATAGAAATGCCGTGTTGCCACGGCTTTCATATCCCTTACAAATGCTCCCAATAACTCTTACCAAAAAAATTGTAAAAGAAATTGAAAAGATCTGTCAAAGTTCATTTGGAGGGGTAAGAAACCCAGATTATGTATGAAAACGTTACAGCTGCCCAAAGATAAAGGGGGTCTTGCCTTTCCTAACATTTTGCTGTATAACTGGTCATGTCAAAGTAGAGTTATACATGAATGGATCCACGCATATCTAAAAGAGACAGAGAATCCCCTTGAAGCCTGGACATGTTCGCCATTTAATCTCCTAAACGAACTAGTGAGTAAATATATTAAAAAACATAATAAAGTAATGATTGATACTTACTTAAACACATGGCGTGATATGAATAAATACACTGAAAGTAATCCTATACTGAGTTATCTAACACCTTTTATAAATAATCTGTTGTAAATTAAGTGGCAACGATGATATTTTTTTGGATATATGGCGCCCGCTATTGGATTACTTACCTGATGATCTGAAGAAAACCATAGTGAGAGTGGCAGCCCCACTCCAATGGTGGGTTGAGTTTGTCAGGACAAATGTGTAAATGAGTGGTAGACCGAATTTGTTATTTCCTGCAGCACTTATGTAAATGCATTAGCTTCTCAAAACAGCTTCAACAGTTTCCTTGGTGTAGCTTTGTAGATAACATACAGACTGACATGAATCCTAACCTTGTTCCTAACTTTGCCGTTGTTGCAAAGTAGTTTGAGTGGAAAACTTGCCTGCAAACACCTGTCGCTTCCTGTGACTGGGGTCTAAGATAACCTTAAATAAACCCTGTTACAAGCTTAGCCTACAGCTAAGTAGTAGTAGTAAGTAGTAACTAAGTAGTAGTTACTTTTATTTCATTTTTTTTTTTTTTATAAAAGGTTCAGGGGTGGTTTTAGGTGGATTTTGTTACCTTTGGACAGAGCTACACTAAATCTAAAACTAAAAACGCTGCTTCCAGCATGCAGCTATTAGTCTTCTCATCTGAGTCCCTGCAAGGAGCTAGAATCTGTTTTGTAAATGTTAATCTAGAGCCCTTAAGTCATGCAATTGCTCTTACTTTACTTACCTTTCCCTTGCTGTGAAAACATTCAGTCCTCACACAGACAAAAAAAAGACCGCTGCTGTTATTATTGTATTTTTTGTGGACTTTCTCCACCGACTCTAAATCCCTTATACCTGCATCCAGGGTCCTTCGTGTGCATTAAATTCTCACGTTGCCACCACCCACACAAATACATATGCTTAACAGCGCTCATTAACACAGATGAATATGGAGCATGCTGATGACTTAACCTGGATTCAGGCTAATGAATGCATTTTCAGATGAGGTGTTAAGAAATGGAAGCAGCTTACAAAATGGACTGAAATGCAGTTTATGTATTTCTCTTCCCTCTGCCCTTATCTCTCTCCTCCTTTTCCTCCCTTTCAGAGGACGAGGCGTTCGAGCTGTGCCTGGGTCTGCAGACTCTTTTGGAACTTAATGTAAGATCCTCATTTCATTTTCTCATATTTTGTGAGCCTTATTGCATCTTTTGATGTGTGCGTGGCCTTTTACAGACTCAGCTAAGCTGTAATGGTCACAAAGCTTTAAATAACCAAAAAGAGGAGAAGAAGAAATATTCTCATAGAACTGAACATGTAAGGGGGAAATATGCCGGTTCTTATTGCATAAGGGTCGTGTTGTTTTTATAGCACAGCATTTAATCGGGCGCCCGCTGTGCAGATAAATCCCACATGAGGAGATTCTGGACATTCTGTGATGTGAAATGTTTAATATTCACATTTGAAATATGACATCTAAATCCAATCACAAGACAAGCTGCCAGTTTGAGAGCAGTCCTTCGTTTATTTCAGCTTTACATAATCAGGCAACTAGTTATCTCCTGGAAGATCTAATTAAAGTGAGACTTCAGGGTGTGAAAAGAACATGAGCTCCTATTTTGTAGATCAGCCCTGAAGGACTGTGTGAGGTAAGATGAACATTTTAGCTCCGAGCTCATTCCGGTGTTTAGCTTTCCCTGCAAATATTCATAAGCAGTGTTAGTAATTGTGATTAATGACCTGCACCAGCACAAATGTAATATAAAAGCTGCTTAACAGAAGGACGAAGAATAAAACATCCCTGCTTTCATAAATCAATGTTCCAAGTCTTTTTGTTTTCATAGAGAAAGTGTTAGACTGCACTTTAAATTTCAATTCATTATCATTCATTTTTCAACTTGTATGACATAATCAAGTTCAATGATAGGGAGGCTTTATGGTCAACCAACAACAGAAGAATCAGAAAAATGAAGCAAATTACTCAATAAAAACACAACAAAATGAATGGATATTTATGGTATAATTCCCATTACACCGTATAAAGTTCGATACTGGATTAATGCAGATCTCACTACCAGCTTGTTAACCTTTCCTTTCACGCTTGCTGCTATCTTTATGTCACAAATCACCCCTGACATTTGTCTCCACCCACTCAATGGAGCTAATCATGCCGAAAATACGGGGGCCTGTTTCAGAAACGTTCCACAGGTTGCCCTCCAGGTCTATTTTTGACTTAAGTCATATCAAAGATGGAGTAAATCTGTGCCCAAAATGCAGCTTCCTGGTTTACTTTCAGCTGAATTTCATTTGTTGAACCCAGTAATAGCCAATACATTCTCATCGAAGGGGTGTCACATGATGCCACTTTGCCTTTTTGTGCCTTGGTCACTAGAGAAAAAAGTATATTCCCTGACCAGTTGGCGAGTGGTTGCAAAAACAGTGCTGTGTCGAAGACCTTATGATTACTGCTGCTGCAACCAAGACATTTAAAAAGGTGCAACTTTTACTTTAGAGATGGCAAGTAGTTGCAGACAAGCCTGTATCTTCCATGTGACCTACAGGCTGCAGCATTCTGTTAGGAACCAAAGCAATTAATGAGATTTCTTTTTATGCAGCACTCTGTACCTCTTTGTGACCAGTTTCACCTAGCAACTGCTGGCAACCTCCAGCAACGACTTGTCAACTGGTTGGGGAATAAGCATTGTTTCCATAGTGACCAGTGGTTGCCATGGGGTTCCAAACTTGTTTCTAAGACTCACAGCTCTGGCTTTGAGTTCAGAAGCCACAACACCGACTTTGCTTCTGATCAGAAGAAAACTGGCGTATAGGGAGAGGGAAGGGACCTACAGCTGCTTTTTTCAGAAGCTGATTATTTTGGATATGAATCATGCAAAACTACTCTAGCAGAATTTAAGAATACACACAATTTTCCATCTTAGATTATTAAATTGAAATATATCTGGAGGTATTAAGTGCAATAAACTATCCAGCTTTTCATGTGTGTTGTGAAACAAGATTGGCCACCTGTGGTTAAATATTTAGCGTACTAATTATGTCTCCCCATGTGACTCCTCTCATAGTGCTGTTTGGATCTGAGCAGTCGGGTCCTGAAGCTGCAGGGCTGCGGTGAGGATCTGCCCTTCCTGAACCCCTTGACCGACAGCCAGTGCCAACACGACACCAACGAGAACCTGTGAGATCGACTCCGCAGCAGGGACCACGTCCTCCTAAAGCCTATTCGGTTGCAGCAATGCGGCACGATGCTGTTCATGTCTGGGCTGTGGGGTCACCGTGTCTCTCACTGCCAGAACATGGATGAGCATTCGCATCAGTCGTGCTTGAGTTTACATCTTTGTGTTGGTAGAATTAAGACATTCACCATGATTATCTCTTATATAAAACTAGTCTAGTAAACAGAGGAAAATCCAGTCTTGTAAGTTTAATCATTCTTTGTGATTAGACTATATATTCAAACCAATTTGTCTGCTGAGCTGTTCAAATACGCCAATGCACTAAAAGGGAAAACCATAATAATCCTTAAAGTGATTTTTTGTGGAATATTTTGTGATTTAACTGTAAAAATACTTTGAGTCATAGAGTGAATGAAAAACAAGTTAATTGTGAAGTTAAACAACTTCACTTAAGATATTCTTAAAGGAATAATTTTATATTTCGAAATGTTTAGCAACAACATTAGCCTATCAGCACCATTAAAACTCACTATTTAACATATTACAGCTAATTTCTGAAGACCATACGAACACTAAATGTACAAAATAAAAGTTGTACGTAATATAAAGGCTGACAAAAACAAATATAAGCATATTAAAGTTTTTTAAAGCTTTTTATAGATGAAACCAGATTGCTCATTCAACCTAACTTTCTTCTAGCAAATACTTTAGCAACTGATCCAAAACATTAGTCATACTCTAGTATTTATCAACTATGTGTGTTGACCATTTATTTGAAAAGCTATTAAGACTGATCCACTTAGACAGGCGTCCACCGCTTACACCATCTGTGACGTTTAGCTAGAAACATCAAACCATTCTTTCATTTTCCAATAAATTTGGCAAAATAATGATTGTGTTTTTCAACCACTCCAAGTTTTAGCTCTTTATACATAAGTTTCAGTTTATAAAGTTAATGTTTATTTTAAAGTTGTTGTTTTTTTTAGTTCAATTCTTTACCTAAATATTTGATTTAATATCAGTAACTTTACCTGGTTATGTATAACTTAAAGCTATTGGCTTTGAATTGCTATGAATCTGTTTCAGGTATTATCAATTTATTTTATCAGTTTTGCTAACAAATAATCACAGTTGTGCACAAAAACAGTATTTCCATTGTTTGTTATCTTAACTGTCTGCAAATGCAAAAAACATAGTATACCGAACAGTTTCTGATGCATAAACAGCAATTAAACAGCATAATATTTTTCCCCAAATCCTCCTCCAGCAAAACTTTCACCTACGAGGGGAAAACCCCTGCTCCCTCAGTGATATAATAATTTCCGTGTATCTACCTAAATTGAATGGTTACTGAACCATAGTCATTCAAAAGACACAAAGAGTTTGACATGTTCAAGAGATATAGTCATAGAAAACTGAGAAATACAAACTGATTATTTCATGTTAATCTCAAAATTTTCAAATTTTAGGAAACAAAAGTAAAAAATGAAAATGTGGGAATTTTGCATATTATGTCACATTTATCCTCAACTGTAATAATTACATAAATGCTTTATTTCCACTCTTTAGCCATTTTTAACCTGTTATTCCACAGCTGCAGCTACATAGTTTTCCTCCATCTATCCCTAACTTGTACCCATCTGTTTGCTCATTATTTTTAACTAACAGTTTCCAATAGTTACGCATGTATTCAGCAAAGTGCACATTTATTTCCATTTATTTTTAATCTTTATCTGCACTCCTTAAACTCTATTGGATGATATAGCTTTATTCTTTCAGATGGTCCTGTGTGTAAGAAGAGCGTCAAGCTAACAAACGTCCACTCCTATCTTACCTCGTACCCCTGGAATCAGTGGATTTAACATATTGCCTTAACATGTTCATTAGTGAGGCTTTAATTGGTGCTGGAAGGCTTCTTTTTCTCACCTTTGGACCAAGCCAGGCTGGATTTTGTAAATCAACATTTCCTGCCTTATATTTATCAGACAGAGCGGTGTCAGACTTCTCGCTGTCATCAGTATGCTGTATGAAGCTGTATTAAGCACATTTCCCAAACTACATTTAAGACACGACACGCCTCATATAAAACGAAGAGAGTCTTCAAGCTATTTCCTGAGTGTTAAAAGAAAATGTTGAGAAGCTTAGGATTCTAGTGTAATTAAGTGTGGATCAGGCTACCTCCTTAAAAGACACGGACCGGTTCTCATAGAGAATTTCAAGAGATCCAAGGAAACATTTCTTAAGTAGATATATTTAGCTTTGTAAAGTCCCTTCATTCTTTTTTTTCCCTCATAAAGAGACTGATTTGGTTATGTTTTCCAAGAGCACACTTTCCAGCCCATCACGATGGCCTAGACTGAGTTATGGTAGTTCCCTATAAATCCCCTCATATAAAAATAGACTTAAGGCCAGCCGGTTAAATATATCAAGAGTCAGAAATATCAAAACATTCCATCTGCATGACTTTGTAAAGTTCTGCCTTTGTATAAGTCTGCATGTTTATGTACTAGTCTGATTGTGTCATGTTGAAAGTCTGAAGGGGCTGGATGTGTGTGTTATAAGCACAGCAGGGTTTTCTGCCATCTTATAACAGCAGCTCCACGTGGGAAAAAAGTGGAACAGGTCCCATCATCCCCAAACTGGTACAGCGAGCTCCGGTCAGAACAAGCTGCCAAAAGCCGACCCCCGCTGCCTTCCCTTTCTGACTCTTTCAGGAGATTTTAACCACTCGGCTAAGGCTGCACTTGTGCCAAGGCACCTCTTCAAGCTTATCTTCATTTAGGCAACTGATCTTCTTTGTGTATTTGCCACCATTTTTTGGCTGATGTTATTCACTCTTGATGCCTCATGTTTGCTGATTTGCCTCCCCACTACAGTGCCACCTGCCTCTCTTGTATGTGTTTTCATAGTGTGGAGAGTAAGGAAGCTGCCTCAGATGTGCTCACCGAAAGCACCATCATGCTCTGCTTTAACAACACTCGAGCTGCGCCACGCTTTTTGACCGTGCTACAGCAACCATCTAGCCTATTCTTGGTGGTCAGATTGGAAATATTTGTTTCTCTTTGTTGTATTAGTGACCTTCCTATGACGTGTGAGAGGAATCGATGTATGACAGAAATTTATTTTTGGTGTTTTTCTTCTTCTGGACAGTATTTTCTCTGCCTAATAAAGTATGTATTCTGGCTAGCTTGGCATTCATAATTTTATGACAAGGAGACACAACACAGAGGAGTGATGAGCCTATTTGGAAAAAAATCTCAGCAGACTGGCTGTGGGAGGACTCCACTAGACAGACCAGCCTGAACACTGATTCCCATGTTCTGCAGTAGCTAGACACCCATGTATGTGCCCTTCACTGCTATATCTTGCTAAATAAAGAAGCATGTCATGTTAGAATAGAGGAAGCAGATGTTCCCACAGCACCAGGGGCCTTTGACAGTTGATTGGCCTGAGCATTGAAGGTTCCCATCTTGCTGCACTGCCCTTTTTTTCCATGACAGAGACCCAAGCCAATTCCCATTGAATATGTAGTAAGATCAAGTCCTTTTAGCTCTATAGCACGAGACAAAAACATTTCAAGTGTTTTTAAAGAAAACCAGAAGAAAGACAGAAGTCTTTATATCTGAACTGAGAGCTGTGTCTCTGATGTTTTATAGATAATTGTTTCTTTTAGAAATTCTTTCAAAGGAACACACCAATAACCAATCTTTTACAGTAAATTACATCTAAGCATGATTAAAATCACAGAATGATTAAATGTGTTAACATGTTAATGTGTTTTTTATATGCTATATACAGTAGCTATCAAATGTATACCATAGGCCAAGTCAGATATATATATGTAATATAACGTGGAGTGGAAAACAAATTTGCCACTTCCTCATTTCTTAATTTGTTGCACATTTGTCACACTTTTGGGAAAATATTCTGTGGAGTGAAGAGACAAAAGCTGGACTCTTTTGAAAAGGTCCTACTACATTGGGAGTAAAACTAACACAACACTTCATAAAATGAACATCATAGGAACAGTCAAACATGGTCTGGACTTGAGTTTGATTGAGATGCTTTGGCATGACCTTAAAAAGGCTGTTTGTGCTCATAAACCCTCCAATGTGGCTGAATTAAAAAAGGTTCTGCATTGAAGAGTGGGCTAAAATTCATCCACAGTCATCTCAAACATGGCGGTTGTAATGTAATGGTCTGGGGCTGCTTTGCTGCTTCAGGACGACTTGCTGTAATTGAACCATCCATTCTGCTCTCTACCAGAAATATATCCTGAAGATTAAGCTCACTTGGGTAGACCAAGTCCATGTCAGAATGGCTCAAAAACAAAATGAAGGTTTTGGAGTGACCAACACCAATGAAATAGCAGATAGGCTGGCCTTTTATTTCATTTAAGAATAAAACGAGGAGCTCGATCATTCAGAAAAGCTTCGTAGTAGAGCCGCTACTCCTCTACATGGAAAGAAGCCAGCTAAGATGGTTCAGGCCTCTGACTAGGAAGCCTGCTGGGTGTTTTGAACACGTACTACTGGGAGAAGGGCTATACTCAGGACATACTGGGAAGATTATATCTCTCAGCTGGCTTGGGAATGCCTTGGTGTTTCCCCGAAGGAGCTGGAGGAGGTGATCAGGAAGGTGAACTGTGACCAGACCAGATACACAGCAGATAATGGTTGGATGGGTGATGGATGTTAATGAGGTTGTGTTGTGGGGCAGGTCTACATGTGCCTTGGAATTTATTGTTGCAACACACAAATCATGAGCACATTAAAAATACTTTGTAGACTCTCATTGACCAACATGGAGGCAAATTTTATATCCTTAAAAGTATGGACCATGTAAGGAGAAGAGAAACTGTTGTTAAAGGCCCTCAGCCTGAACGTACTCATGCTAACATGCTGGTACAGGAAGTTGCATATAACTTGGCCTTACTCTTTAGACTGTTGAATCTGAGCCAAACCCTTTTCTAGACTGCGTGAAAGTATCTGATAAGGCCATGGGACAAGCTACATGCTAGTGGAGCTTACTCCAAAGAAAAGAAAAAAAGCTTGGTCCCTCCGTCTGATGATACAATTAAAAGAAGAGCTGATAACATGTCAGATATCACAGACGTTTTTTTGTTTCACAGGTGTGCCTGTGGGTTCATCTCGTCCTATTTAGTCACACACAAACAGAAGAGGAGAAGTATTCAAAGTCATTGCATAGCTGAGTGTAATAAAAACTTCCTAAATGTTAATGCAGCTAAAGCTTTGTCTTCAATGACAGTTTTTGGTTTTAACTAAATAGCTTTTGATTCATGCCCTGATGAATCTCTCCTTATATATTTTTTCTTACAGATGAAGCACAGGGTTCCAAATATGGACTAGCTCTGTCTTCCTCTAGAAAAAGAGGTAGATGCAGAAAGAGAACTGATAGAAAGAGGCTACGGAGGGAGCCTCAGGGCCAGCTGCAGGCAAGCAGCTGAGGGCTGGTGCAGGGACTGATGGCCTCCAGTAGCACTGTGAGGGAGTCTTTTTTGACAAGCATATGTCCTTCAGTGTCCATATTAAACAAATATGTAGGACAGATTTTTTACATTTGTGCAACAGCTCTAAAATGAGAACCATCCTATCTCACACTCAGAAAAATAAAGGTGCCAACTGGAACCAAAAGTGGTTCTTTAGACTGATGCCATAGAAGAACCCTTTTTGGTGCCACAAAGAACCTTTCAAACAATGGTTCTTTGAAGAACCATTTTTTTCAGTGGTTCATTGAAGAACCTTTAAAGGTGCCCCAGAGAACCATCACGAAGTGGTTCTTTGGGGCAACTTTAATGGTTTTATAATGAACCTTTTTAAAAATGATTCTTTAAAAAACCACTTTAAAGAACCTTTTTTGAGTGGTTCTTTAAAAAAACATTTTAAATCTTTCAAAATAAAATGCATCATAAATTGAATTTGAGTAGGGTAAAATAAATACGAGCACAGCATATATTAATGGTTTATTGTCATTTTGTAGTTACCAAAAGACAAAAAGGCATTTTGACCCTCAGCACAACATCACTACTAATACATGTCACATATTAGTGTTTTAAACAGTAATAATTAAATATATTTGCTATACTATAAATAAATATATATAAATACTATAGCTACAGATAACGCAACAAATAATACATGTATTGTTTAATTAATAAAACATCAGAAAGTGATAAAACACATTAGAAATAGCAATAGCTTCATAACAGACCAATAAATCAACACATTTTCATCAGCAGATATTTGCATGTTCAGTAAAAACATTTCAACAACAAGTTTATAATTAAAATGATCAATGAACTTCAGCCTTACGCTATGTAATGTACTTTTCATGTTGTACTCATGGTCCTTTGTTAGTCCAGTTTAGGACAATGTCTCTGACGTATGTTTCATATCAAATATATGTCATATCAAAACAAGCCCACACCTGCAGTTGTTTCAGTTTTTCACTGGTGTTTCCTGTCAGCTGGTCAACCTCACTCAGGCGGACATCCATATCAGCCAAACAAATGACAAGTTCCTCCCTTTGTGCTTCAAATCCCTCCCACTCTGAGACAAGGAGCTGAAAGAGAGAGAAAAGAGTCAATTATAAAGAAGAGAGAAAAGTGAAACCCTCCTCAGAAGGTCTGACTCGCATACCTGCAGTTGACCTGTGATGGACTCCAGTTTGGCGTTCACGTCATCCCTCGTCGATGCCAACAGCCGAGTCTGCAGGGTGCCCTGGAAGAGCTGAGTTAATGTTCGACTCCTCCTGGTCAGGCTCTCCAGCTGGATGACCCGAGGTCTCCCCTCTCGCCGCTGCCTCTGAACACAGAAACACAAATTGCATCTGAAGCAGGAGGTGCAGATTTTTTTTGCTATTCTTTTATAAATCCAGGCTAGATCACGTGGAGGTATTTGGAAAATTGTTTTGGCCAGTGGACGACTGTTGTCTTGCAGAAAGTCAAATCAATCAAACAAATGCTATACACAATCAATTCACAAGAACACATTGTAAAAAATAAGTCCAGTTCTTGCCTGATTTCAAGTGAAATCTGCATCAAAACAGGGTAAAATGAGTGTTTGCAGCAAATGTGAGCACAAAGCCTCACTTTGTACAAGCCTGCTATTACAGTTCTCCTCTATGCAGACGACTTTCCTGTTTTCAAGGCACAACTTGGATCTGCTGTACGAATCTTATGGATACACACTAAATGAAATAATAGTGTGCATGACTCCAGATTCCGATCCCTCATCCTAATATGGTCCCAACATAGCAACAGCAATAATGCAAATGTTGAGGCTTCAAAATACAAAGTCCATAAACCAATGGCTGACATGGGTTTTATCATAAGGATGATAAATATACAGATTTCAGTCTGTCTTAGAGATTTGATGTTCATTTACCTGCAGATGCACTATCACTTAAACCCCCACGGATCGCCATTTGGCGTTTTCTACCTTTAAAACCCGGAGAGCAGCCAAATGGCTTTTAGCTAGGCTTTAGCTTCAGCCAAGTGGAAGCTAAATTGGCTAGTCATTCATATGTAAATTGGGTCGTTATCTGGGAATTCTGGAGGGAGGGGAGTGGGGGTGTGTGATTGAGGGCGTGGGGGAGCTGCTAAAAGCTGTGCACTTCCTTTTGTGTTTCATCTTGATGCATTCTCAATCATCCAGGGAAATAAATCTCCAAAAGTCACCAACTTGGAGTGTTTCAGTTTGCCATCTTAGGGAGAAATCAACACACATGGGTGTATGTCCTTTGTTGCTGACATTTATTGATAAAAACAGTACAAAAAAACCAACCATTTGTACACATATTTACAAATGGCCTGCTGAGTGGTGCATGGAGCATGTTCATTGGTTCATGGACCTCCCTGAACTAATGGCATTTATTGCAATTGTCATCTTGCGGGGGATTAACAGGGTTCCATCTCTAAATGACTGCTGGTGGGCAAACCTGGGAAACCCAAAGATAATTGGAACTATGGCACGAAACCGCTTCCAAGACATCATGCAACACCTACGCTTTGATGACAAGTCCACCCGCAGTGATCGAGCAAAGACTGATAAGTTCGCTGCAATTTCCAGTGTGTGGGGATCATTTGTCACCAACTGCATCACGTGCTACAACCCTGGTCTACATATCACCGTTGATGAACAGCTTTTCCCATCAAAGAAAAGCCTT